TTTATTAGTGATAAGGGAAAGTGCTCCTGCTCATCCCCACTCAAAGTCCTTTTACCCTCCTGTCCTGCTGCTTGGCTACACCACAGCCACCTTTCCATCCCTCCCTCAACTCCATCATCTGTGCTGCTCCAAACCCAAGCTGCACACTCATACATTCTATACCCTATCCTCCTCCTCAGCGCCTTGGTGCGCTGCCACAGTACTGCACAAACACAGGCAGGTCTTAATCTCTTCTGCATTCATCATCTCCTCATTTGACATACAGGGATGATGGGAGCCTTTGGGGAGCTGTTTGCCCACTTTCCCCAGCAACTCATGCCCCCCTAGCCCAGCCCAGGTTGGAGGTGGAGCCTGGGGGTAGTAGTGCCCCAACACCACACAGCCCAGGCACAGGACCCAAGTGAGGATGGGCTGCCCCAGCAGAGGAAGAGCGTGTGGAGCATTGGCTCTAAGGTTTAACTGGTCAAAAGTCAAAGCTTGGGCAATGCCACAATCACAGCTCCCAGGGGAGCTGTGTGGCCCAGCCCAACTCCTGCACATCATGCTCTGAGCCCCAGCCTGGCTCAGACCTCACTGCACACTCTGCAGCTCTGCACTTTGCTTTGCAGGAGGACGTGGCACAATGACGGCGAAGAAGAATCAGCCCATGCAGAACGGAAGGGCCAAGGTGAGTGTGGGGAGAGGGAGAGGAAACAGGAGGAGGGGAATAGCTCATACCGTGCTGTCTTGTGTGTTATCTTTGCTTGTAATAATACAGAGCAGCCATCAAAGTATCGTCACTCACATGCCTGAAATAAAATAAACGAGAATCAACAAAGGTAACCTTGATCTAACAGGACCTATCAGCACGTATCAGTATTTATCCATGGGATTTCTGGGTCAGCTGGCTCCACGTCAAGATAAAATTAGCAGGAGGTGTATTTTCCTTGTTGAACATGCAGATTCACAGACGAATCGGGCCATGAAGCCAGACTCAGCTTTTCTTGAGGAGTGCTTTTCTTTTCTGCTGGCTGGCCCCTAACTGGTCCCCATCTGATGCACAGGAGAACGTGCTGCAGCGTGTCCTGCAGCTGCCGGTGGTGAGCTCAACCTGTGAAAGCTTGCAGCGGACCTACAGCAGCACCAAAGAGATCCACCCAATTGTGGCCTCGGTGTGTGAGGTCTATGAGCAGGGAGTGAAGGGCGCCAGCGCCTTGGCCATGTGGAGCGTGGAGCCTGTGGTACGCAGGCTGGAGCCTCAGTGTGAGTCCATCAGCAGGGATGTGATGGGGTATCCAACAGTGGGACACCACCTGCGCTCACCCCTGGCACAGCCCCCAGCCTTAATCTCCACCCTGCATGCTTTTGCCCAAGGCAGTCTCTGTGGCCAACAATTTGGCATGTCGGGGCTTGGACCACCTGGAGGAGAAGATCCCAGCCCTTCAGTATCCTGTTGAGAAGGTAAGTCATGGGTGGGAAAGCCTCTGGGATCCTCTAGACACTCCAGCCCCTCTGCAGAGCCCGCAGGATTTCTCCTCTGGGCCAAAATCCTGGTTCTCACCTGGCAACCAGTGAAGGCAAGGGGCTTCCAGAGGGTACCTCAAAGCAAGGACTTAGCACAGATGTGGTTGGATTGCTCCTAAATATAGGCCAGCAGGTCCTGCGTGGCTGGCTACCTGCAGCCCAGGCTATAGGAAATCGTCCTGCTGCTCTAGGGAATGTCTTCTTGCATGGCCCATGGTCTCTCCAGCTGCTCTGTGCCATCCAGAGCACATCAGAAGGGTTCTTCTCCATCTCTCTGCCTGCAGCTTGCCTCCAAACTGAAGGACACCATCTCCACCCCCATCCAAAGTGCCAAGAGCACCATCGGGTACTCCATGGACAAGATCTTGGGGCTGGCGGTGGGTGGCTATGAGACGACCAGAACCACAGTGGAGACAACAGCAAGGTACACGAGGAGCAACTCAGTGAGCCAGATGGCAGCTGCCGGGATGGACACCGCCCTAGGTGGGCTGGAGAAGCTGATGGAATACCTGTTGCCAGAAGAGGAGGAAGCAGGTAGTATTGGTGCCAAGATCACCTCGGGGTGTTTGCAGAGGGGTGTCCTGGTAAGGCAGGGGTCTGCTGGGGTGGAGGAAGCACCCAAAGCGGTCCCCATGGAGATGGGGACTCACTGATGGGGTGTAGGTGGAAAGAAAAAGATCCTGGTGTAGGGCTGTCCCACCAGGCTGTAACATCCCACACTCTCCCTGTGCTGTTCTACCTTTAGATCTGAAGCCCAAGAAGACCTGTGGACCAGCAAAGGTCTCCCAGCAGCAATCCAGGATATACAGGGCTCCCAGTGCTCCCAGCAGTGCTCCCAGCACTCTGGGCCGGATTGGAGCCCTGGTCAGCACCGCCTCTCACCGTGCTTACCAGCACACCGTCCAGAACCTTCAGCGTGCCAAAGCCAAAGGACAGGAACTGGTCGTCTGGATCCCCATCTTGGTGAGTCCCAGCCTGTCTCAAAGCCTTGGGGCCTGGAACTCACCCCGAGCACTGGTTTCTGTCTCCCCTGCAGGGCAATCTGGCCAAGCCGAGCCCACCTACGGTGCCGCAGAGCCATGGTGAGAGGCAGAGCACTGCAGGCAGCTGGAGGCAGAGCAGGGTGCCGGAGCAGAAGCAGGAGAAGACAGAGAAGGAGGACGGCCATGCTGGTGAGGTAGGGAAAAATGGAGGTAGTGGTGAGATGGGGTCATTCCAGAGCATCATCTCGATCCCACCATGTTCTCGGCCTCTTCTCCAGCAAACCAAATCAAGGCACTTCCCTTCTGGCATTCTCCCAGGGGCTGGGTGCGATCCAAAGGACCCAGCAACCGGCATCTCTAGCTCAGTCTGCCTTAGGAGAAAAAGCTCTGAACTCCCAAACAGGGCTGCAACAGCCTCTGGGCCAGGCAGTGCTCCAATTTCTGAATTGGCACCTAGCTCCCAGTTGTTGGTTTGGGGTCTCAATACAAAACATACTCCCACTGTGGTCCCAGGAGTGAACAGGAGGACCCTGGGTCTGGGGGGGCTCTGCTGACAGCACACGGGCTGGAGGACTTTCCCTGGTGGTAGCAGCTCTGCTGGGACATGGGGACAGAAAGCTGCGGGTCAGGGTCGGTGCCCTTCACCTTCACTTGCAGCAGAAGTGTGAGGTCCCAAAGGGCTGGGGGGGCTACCATAAGTGACGCTGTTTTCTGCCTGCAGGCAGGGGATGGCCTTGGACTGGTGGGCAGCGTGGCTCACAACCTGCAGAGTGCCTGTGCCTCTGGCATCTCCAGCATGAAGAAGGTCCCTGCTGTGGCCTGGGACGCTGCAGAGGGGTTGATCCTGTTCACACCCCGCAGGCTGTCCAGGGCCATGGAGACGGTGGATGCCCTGGGAGGGACGCTCATCAGTGCCCCTAAGCACCTGCTGGGCAGCCTGTACAGCTACGTGCCGGTGAGTGCATCCCAGCACCATGGGGACACACAGGGATCGGGTCCCACCCACCTCCAGCAAAACCCCTTCTGGTCCACTCCCTGTATAAAGGCGAGGCACAGGTTAATACTGGGACCGCATTCCCTTCCTCCACCCATCCTCTTCCTACCTGCTCTCCCCTGGGGCTGTCCTACGGTCACCTACTCCTTACTCTGAGGGCCTCCATGGAGACAAACCTCCCGTCCCAAAGTCTCCCTAGGGAGAGCCCTACTGCTTAGCCCAGCCCTCAGCTCCGCAGGCAGTCCAAGGACGAGGCGGCGGCGCGGGGCAGCAAGCCGGGTCCTGAGGCCGAGCAGAAGGAGGAGGAGGAGAGCAAGCCAGTGGGCACCAGCGCCGAGGAGAAGGCCCAGCTGAGGGGTGACTGGCGGCTGTACCGCGGCCACCACCCGCTGTCCTTCCTGGGCCTGGAGGACCCTCTCTTCATACGCAGCAATCTGTACCGCAGCTCAGCCCTGGAGCCCGAGGCTGTGCCGCGGAAATCGGCCTTCGCGCCCTACAGCCGGCGCGTGAGCGAGGGCTCCTACCGCTTCAGCCCCGAGGCCATGTACAGCCGGGCCTACTATGCCAACCTCTACAGCCCAGCCTTCAAGAAGGAGTGACTCTGAGTGGGAGAACCTCGGCCCCAAACTGCCCCCAGCACGCTTTGCCTTCACGTACCCACATCCCACATTGCCTGCTTACCCACATCCCCAACACGGCACAGATATGGTTGTCCATCTTGGGTTGTCCATCTGCCCATCTGTGGTTGAGGGTCCCTGCTCTGCTCCAGGCTCGGTGACAGCTGTGCCAGGGGATGTCCCCTCCTTGGGGCCAAGAGGAGAATAAAGGCAGCCCAAGGGGCTGCTGTTAGAGGAGTAGAGAAGAGGGGATGAGTGAAGGAGAAACAGTGAAGGAGAAAAAGGGACCAGCCAGCTCTGACACTGGGCCAGCTGCTGCTCGTTAAACAAGCAGTGTCAGACAGGTGAGGTACAGAGCATTGAGATGGACCGGAGGGAACACAACCATCAAACATCGCAGAACAACATAGAATCATCACAGAATGGCTTGAGTTGGAAGTGACTTAAAGCCCATCCAGTCCCACCCCCCTGCCATGGGCTGGTTGCCCCCACCAGCTGAGGCTGCCCAGGGCCCCATCCAACCTGGCCTTGAGAACCTCCAGGGATGGGGCACCCACAGCTCGGGGCATCCTGGGTCCTCATCCTTCTTTCCACAGTTTTGGGGTCAGAGACAAGACCAGAGCACCAGTACCCCAGCCTCCTGCAGGAAGGCCCCATTCCCACAACTTGTGATTGTACCTGCTGCAGTAATAAACCTTCCCCCTTATTCCCCATCACCCTTTGCATAGTCTGCTTTACAAGAGCTGCCTACTGGCTGCTGAGCCTTAAAGGGCTGGGAACACTGAGGGAGGGAGAGCACTGACAGTGCAGAGGGCTTTTTGCAGTGCTTGGGCAGTGCCCAACATTGTACGTGCCCCTTCCTATGCCTGGAGTACAAACTCAGAGCCACCAGGGGCTTCCTGCCAAAGATTTATTCCATTTGCAGAACAGTGCAGAGCAATCTGTCTGCACTGCACATACACAACCTCCTTCCTACACACTGCATTCCCAGGAACAGCAGAGAAGGGGAAAGGCCTCCCTGCCCCCCTCCTCTTCCTCCCCGGGGACAGGCAGGCTCAGAGGTCTGCATTTATGAGACACACGGTACAGTCCCACACCCTGGGAAAAAGCCCAGTGCCTGACTTTCCCATGCTGAGCCTGGGCTGTCACCAAAAGGCTGCAGGAGGGAGGTCAGCAGCACAGTACTGCTTGGAGTCACATAGGATGAGATGGGGTGGGAGAGGATGAGATGCAATGGGATGGAGGGTGAAGGACTCTGCCTGCTGTCCTCCAGGCTCAGTACTGGCACGGCCAGGATGCCAGGGTGACAACAGGGACACGGAGCAGGACGTAGCTGCATGTCCTCCCTGCTAGCCCACAGAAGGAGCTGGGGATGCTGCAGACAATAACAGAGCCAAGAGCTGAGGGCTGAGCAGAGGAAGGCCCTTGCCTTGCTGGTCACGTACAGCCAGAGACCCAGATCATGGGGTTTGGAGAACCTGCCACGCTCCTGGGACACATCCAATCTGCACAGAACACAGGAGGCCTCATCCAGCTACACAACAAGAAACAAAGACGCTGCTCAGAGTGAGTCCGTCCGCTTACGGGCAAACACTGCCGACACCGTCCTGACGATGCCTCGGATGCCGGCACCTCTTTTCAGCCTGGTGTCGGGGATGCGCTCAGCCAGTCCATGGAACACCATGAGAGCCCCGTGGTAGGCCTCGGCCGCAGAGACCTCATAGAAGCCACAGTCCAGAGACAGGGCCAGGAGCCGTCCCTCCTCGCTGGAGACAGCCCGCCGGTGCTGCAGGTCCCGCTTGTTGCCCACGATGACGATGGGCACCTGCTCCTGTCCCTCCTTGGCCGCCCTAATGAACTGCACTTTGAGGGGCAGGAGGTTGAAGCTGGCGCGGTCGCAGATGCTGTAGACCAGGATGAAGCAGTCTGCCCACTGGATTCGTTTCTCCTCCGAGGAACCATCATCAGCCTGGTCCTGGGGAACGGGGAAAAGGAACGGATTGGGTTTCCTCTTTAGGAGGAGGGCACACAATGGGAAGGAGCCCTCTCACCTGTGAGCTGGGGACATCCCAGATGTGGAAGAGAACCTCTCGGCCATCCACGGTCACCGTGTGGCTGTAGATGAATTCTGCCCAAAAAGAAATGAGTCTGAGACTGTTTGTCTCTACAGACAGTTCCCTCACAGCTGATCTCCTCCAGAACCTTTAGGGACCCAGGGCTGTCCCTGACTCAGCCCACGCACAGCTGCACTTTCTGCACCCCAGTACAATGACAGTACAGCTCCTGATCAAACATGAACATCAAGCCTCTGGGGAGCTATAGAATAATATGGGAGAGGACAGGAAGGAACCAAACCCTGCAGGAGGATCTGGCTCGCCCTGCAACCTCCCTGTCCCTAACAGGAATGGAACGGGGCTGGCATGGTCAGCACTCACCCATGTCTCCGTACTCCCCGATAAAGCGCCTCGTAAGGAAACGTACAGTCAGGGCTGCAAAGGGGAGAACAAGGATCACAAAATAATCCTGAACCTCTGAGACTTTCATCTTAAACCCAGCCCACACACAGCTTAGACCTGAACACACTCAGGATGCATCCCCCCACAAACTCCCACTGCCGGGACCAACCTCTGATTTTCCCCTTTCTGAACACCAGCAGAGGCAGGACTGCTCTCTGCAGCTCATTCTACAAATCCCGCTGCAGTCTGCAGCCTATTTTTGCAGTAGAAATGGGTTTCCCTGCCTGTAAGCTCTCAGCTCGCTCTCATTCCTCACCTGATTTCCCCACGCTGTCTGCTCCCATCACCAGCACATTGGCTTCTGCTCTCAGGGCGACAGGGCTGGGCAGCTCCAGGAGGGCCGGGTGCTCGGGGGTGAAGCTGGCACTCCTGCGCAGCCGAAGCCCCATGGCAGCACTCCCAGCTCCTCCACGTGCACCCAGAGGACCTGCCAGGGCTACGGGGTACTGCCTGCAGCTGCAGGCAGCGGGATTCAAAATGTTGCTATGGGTTGGATCATCCCCACAGTACGTCAGTGCCGGGGCTGGCCTTGTCACCTCCCAGCACGCAGGGCTGGCTGCAGAGTATCCCAGGAGGCTGCCCACGCTGCTGCTCCTCAGCTGGGACATGTGGTCCTTTTGTCTCTTCTCATGGAGGCTGGAGGATCACCCACGGAGCATCTCATAATGGAAGATGTGTCTCAAAGCACATTAAGCGTCTCAGAAGTGATGGAGTGCATCACAACTAATGGATCATCTTATAGATGATAAAGCATCTCAAGGCTGATGGAGCATGCTGTGATCGATCACAGAGTGACTAAGATGGAAAAAGACCTTAAAGATCACCCAGCTCCACCCTGCTGCTGCGGGCCAGATGCCACCCACCAGTTCAGGCTGCCCAGGGCCCCATCCAGCCTGCAATTGAGCACCTCCGGGGGTGGGGAGCATCGTGATGGAGCACAGCACAAGTGATGGAGAACCTCAAAAGTGATGGACTTGTGGGTACGAGCAGATGTGGAATTCTTCACGGGGCAGCGAGGCCCCGGCACCGCCTGCCCAAAAACCTGCGGATGCTCCAACCGGGTGGGATGGGGTTTTAAGCAAAGCCGATCCGGTGGGCGGCAACCAGCCTGCGGCAGCGGACGGAACCGGACGGTCCTAAGACCCCTTGCGACCCACGCCATCGCACCACTCTACGAGCGCCTCAGGAGCGGCGGAGCACATCGCGCCCCGATCCCACCCACCGCTCCGCCGGGCGGAGCCGCCTGACGCCATCGCAGCGCGCCGAGCAGCGCTCCGCCCCGCCATGGGCCCGGAGGGGGCGGCGGTGCGGGTGGCGGTGCGGGTGCGGCCGTTGCTGCCCAAGGAAGTTCTGCGTGGGCACCGCTCCTGTCTGCGCGGGGATGCGGCCACCGGGGAGGTGGCGCTGGGCCACCGCCGCCGATTCCGCTTCGCCGCCGTGCTGCCCGAGGCGGCGGGGCAGGAGGCCGTGTACGGCGCCTGCGTCCGGCCGCTGCTGCGGGCCTTCTTCCAGGGTTTCAACGCCACCGTCTTCGCCTACGGGCAGACGGGATCCGGCAAGACCTACACCATCGGGGAAGCCAGCGTCGGTGAGTGGCGGGCAGCGGCTTCCCGCCCAGCTCATCTCCATCACATCCCCATCCCGTCATCCCATCCCCTGCCGCCGTCCCATCGCCCCCATCCCACCCATCCCTCTTTCCAAAGATGTTTCAGTGGTATTATTGGATCTATAGTTACCTTAGTGAGTGTGGCCACAGGTCAGCTTTGGTTAACTTCGCCGTTTGGGAACGCTGAGTTATGTCCATACTTTGAGATTCGTCTCTGCTTCGCTCTCAGCTCAGGCTGTAGCTCCAGGTGTGGAGTTGCAGTTCTGCATGGCTGCTGGAGACAAAAGCAGAACAGCTTAAAATCACAATGGCAGAGCAGGCAGATAATGAGCTGGGAGAGCTGATGGGGAAATGCTGCTCCTAAGGGCAGCACTCTTTAGCTTTGCGCTCAATATCTGTTATCAGTGGGAACGCTGACGTCCTTTTTTCTTCTTGAGGAAGAACTGTTGCGTGAGTCCACCACCACTGTGCAGTGGTGAGGTTTTCCCCAAGTCCTAAAATCCTTGCAGGAGTTTGAATTTAGGCAGTGCAGGGCTCTAGGAAGGCCAGGGGGGCTGCTCCCCTCTGATGAAACCTACACTGCAGCCCTGGCTCCAGCCCGTCCCCAGCCAGCGTGGCTTCAGGCACAAGCCATAACCCATGATCGTGTCCATGTCTCTTTGCCAGCTTCCATCAATGAGGATGAGCAGGGCATCATCCCACGAGCCATGGCAGAGACCTTCCAGCTCATCGACGAGAACGACCTCATTGACTACACAGTGCGCGTGTCCTACGTGGAGGTGTACAAGGAGGAGTTCCGGGACCTTCTGCAGGTGGATACGGCCAGCAAAGACATCCAGATCCGAGAGGATGACAAGGGCAACATCGGTATGTGCAGCTGCCCTGGGCTTCCTTTTCTCCTCAAAGGCCATTGTTTGGTTTTGTCATTTTGTTGGGTCCCTTATCCATTTGCCGTTGCAGTGCTGTGCGGTGTGAAGGAGTCTGAGGTGGAAGGACTGGATGAGGTGCTGAGCCTGCTGGAGATGGGCAACACGGCCAAGCACACGGGCGCCACGCACATCAACGCGCAGTCGAGCCGCTCACACACCATCTTCACGGTGACGATGGAGCAGCGGCGCGGCGCTGGCCGCGTCACTCGCCTTGCCCTCTCCAACCAGCCCACCATCCCTGCTTCGGGGCAGGTCCTGGTTTCCAAGTTCCATTTTGTGGACCTGGCAGGCTCAGAACGGATCATCAAGACAGGAAACACTGGGGAGAGGCTGAAGGAGAGCATCCAGATCAACAGCGGGCTGCTGGCCTTGGGCAACGTCATCAGTGCTTTGGGGGACCCTCGGAGGAAGGGCAGCCACATTCCTTATAGGGATTCCAAAATCACCAGGTACAGATGGGGAATGGGACTCCACACATCCCATGGGCTGGTGGCCCGGCAGCAGGGACGTGAGGCGTCTTGGTGGTCCTTCTCATGCCCAGCCTACCTGGTTTGCTGGCAGAGACCCCAGGCTGAACAGGAGAAGCTCACAGGGCAAGTCATCCCTTCTGCTTTCACGCCAGTGAGCACAGAATTGGGTGGTACCTGGCTCCAACAGTTGTTCAGGTAGAAACTTGGTCACGATGCAAGTTGTTACTCCTCTATCCTCTGCCATTCAGAGAGATCTATACAGGCTCAAGCACTATACCCAGGAGAACCTCATGAGGCTCAACAAAGCCAAGGGCAAGGTATTGCATTTGGGTCACAGCAAACCCCACTGTCAGTACAAGCTGGGGATGTAAGGATGGAAGACAGACCAACCAAAAAGGTCTTGGGGGTACTGGTGGATGGCAGCTAGGCATAAGTTTGCAGTGCGCCCTTGCATCTGAAAAAGCCAGTTGTATTCTGGGCTGCATCCAAAGCAGAGTGGTTACCAGGGCAAGGGAGGAGATCCTGCCTCTGCTCCGTGAGACCTCATCTGCAGTACTGCATCCAAAGGTGGAGTCCTCAGTACAGGAGAGACACAGACCTGTTGGAGCACATCCAGAGGAGAGCCACAAAAATGATGGAACACATCTAAAGGACTGAGAGCTGGGGCAGCGCAGTCTGGAAGGAGAGGAAGCTTTGGGGAGACCTGAGAGTGGCCTCTCAGTACCTAAGGGGGCTGTAAGAATGAGGGGGCAGACTCTTTAGTGGGGTCTGTTGTAATAGGACAAGTGGAAATTATTTCAAACTGTAAGAGAGGACATGTAGATTCGATATAAGGAAGAAATATTTTTTTAGCAGTAAGGATGGTGAGGCACTGGCACGGGTTGCCTAAAAAGGTGGTAGATGCCCCGTCCCTGGAGACACGCAGAGTTGGGCTGGACAGGGCTCTGAGCACCTGATCAGCTGTCAGTGTTCCTGTTCGGTATGGGGGAGTCAGACCAGATGACATTTAGGGATCCCTTGCAACTCAAACAATTCTATGATTCTATTTAATCATTCTGCTCTCTTCAGTAGTGCAGAGCACGTGTATCATTCTCTTTGGGTTTAGCCTCTGGAAAGGACTGGAAACCTTCTGGTTGCCTTGTTACCATGCATCCCAGCCATCTCAGTCACCGCTGTCTGTGCTTTGTGCAGGATCCTGAAGGACTCCCTGGGGGGCAATGCCCAGACTGTGATGATAGCTTGCGTCAGCCCTTCCTCCTCTGACTTCGACGAGAGCCTCAACACACTGAACTACGCCAGCCGAGCTCAGAATATCCAGAACAAAGCGGTGGTGAACTGCCGCAAGGAAACAGAGCAGGTGGAGGAGCTCCACCTGCAGATAAAGAACCTGCAGAAGGCGCTGGAGCAGCGGCACCGCTCCGAGACACGCATCATCAACCGCTCAGACGCCACCAAGCGCTGCCCCCAGGAGCCCAACGCTCGGCTGCTGGCTGAGTGCGCGCACTACCGCACCTGCACAGATGCCGCTTACCGGCTGCTGATGGAGCTGCAGGAGGACAGCAACCTGACCGTGGAGCAGATCCTGCGGGTGAAGGAGTGGCTGTGCGCGGTGGAGAGCGAGAGGAGCGAGCTGACCTCGGCCGGGCTGGATAGCGGCATCGAGAGCACTTCTGCAGAGGATCAGAGCCTCGAGGCACAGGGGTGCAAGCTGCCCAAAGCTCAGGTAGCAAACGGCTGGGGGGTTTGGGCTCGGACGCACTGTCTGCCTGTCCTGTATCTGCAGACTGATGTCTCTTCTGTATCCCAGGGGCAGGCGAGCACTGAGAAAGGCTGTGAGGCCATCAAGGACAAGCACGTGGCCAACCTGCAGAGACAAGTGGAGCGCCTGGAGGAGGAGAACCGGGATTTCCTGGCTGCCTTGGAGGATGCCATGGAGCAGTATAAGCTGCAGGTATTGCTGGGATGTGCTTTCTTAAACGAAACCTGCCCCGCTTCAGGGTGCAATCCAGCCTTGGAGTTCTTCTGCAGGACCTCTGGGATCTGTGTTACTTTGTGACATTTTTCTCACTGCCTCCCTAGAGTGACAAACTGCAAGAGCAGCAGGATAAGATCTCAGAGCTGCACGTGCGCCTGGAGATGGCGATGCCAAATCTATGTGTGCCAGAGCTGCTGGAGAACCTGCACCTGGTGACTGCCACCCAGCGACCACACACAGCCCCGCTGACAGCCACGAAGCCCCATAGCCTCAGGGGCCATTGTCAGAAGGTGAGTTGGAGCTCTGCCTTTTTGCTGTACCTAGCAGCAATGCCCAGCCAGGAGTCAGCTGCCTTCCTTAATTCTGGCTGTCCTGCAGCACATCTCATCTCTTTACAATTCTCTACCCCAGCAGCTCAGCAGCAGTTCCTCCTTAAAGGAGGACTCGGTCAGCTGTCACCCAAACCTACCCAGCAGTGCAGAGCTCAGGGACATGGCCCTGCAGAGGGAACACAGCCAGGGCTTGGAGAAGGCAGCCGAGCTGTCCTCAGAAGAGGATGAAGAATGGGAGCTGAGGCGGTCCCTGTATCAGCGCCGGTGAGCTGAGGCTGAGCCAACACTGCACACTGCCATGACAGTTGAGCAAGTTAGAAATGACAGTGCTCCAGCAAGGGGGTGCCTAGACCCAAGTGATCAATTTGCTCATCTTTGTAGAAATGGGATTCCCAGCTGGAGCAGGAGAGAGGTGAGCAGCAAGCTGAGCGAGGAGCCGAGCGGAGGCCATCCCTTCTTGATTCAGGAGGAGCAGCTGAAGCTGCCCAAAGGCAAGTGGCAGCTGTAGGCTGAAGGGCAGTTCTCCTGGTGCTGCACTGGTCCTTGGCTGCAGCTCTTATGTGTGATTGTCTTGCTGTCCCCTGGGCATCCTTACCCAGCAGTTTGTGTTGCAGAGGCGTGCAGGAAGCAGGAGCGCCCTGCAGGGAAGGACTCGGAGTGGAGACTGGTGCAAGCGCAGCAGAAGATCCGGGATCTGGCCATTAACATCCGCATGAAGGAGGAGCTGATCACAGAGCTCATCAAGACAGGTGCAGAGCTACTGGTGGGCAGAGTGTGCAGCGGGCAGCTAGGGAGCTGCTATGTGGGATATTCAGTCCCTGCTTCCATCCTCACATCCTGGTGTGCTCCACCCCTGCACTTTCTGTAGCTACCTACCAAAGGCCTTGGGGAGC